CATGAAGCTTGCCAGGGTGCAGTCTGGCCGGTCCCTTCTGAAATGAGTCCCTGCTCTTTTAGTGCCCCTGGTAAGAAATGCAGTCTATTTGCTCAAGGTTTTCCCCTTTATAAAAACAGTCAGATGCCTTTCTTTCCACCACCTCCCTCCTGCAAATCCATGCCAAATATTGATGTTTGATAACTACAAATATCACACATAGCTTTTAATCAAGAGAGACGGAGGGAAGATAAGGGAAGTAAATATGTCTCTGTAAGGCAGTTCAATATTCTCAGTAATGATTTTGCTAAGAAATAAAATGACCAGAGGAAGGGAAGAGGCTCTGTGATGAGCACTGAAACGGGCCAGACCACCCGGAACAGGCTGAACCGTGCCTGGGCTCTTGCTTCCAGCCCGAGGCATGGATCTAAGTTAGATGTTCATTACCCGAATCGGTAGATGCAATCTCATTTACAGAAGGGAGAGATGTATTTTAAATGTGAATTTCCAATATGCCATCCGTCTATCCCATTACCAGCAAAGCACACTGAGCCAACTTCTGTCTTTCACCGCTGGTCTGAGATGGGAGTGGAATGTGAATGCCGAGTGCCCCTCTGGAGAGAAGTGGGGCATCAAGGAGAGGTCAGCCTTCAGGCTGTTGTCCACCAAGGTTGTGTTCCCCTCAGTGAAGGCTGTAGTCGTTCTGAAAGAGTTGTCAGGCAGGCTGCATAATTGTCACCCCCTTTCACAACACTCTAAAGGTAGCCGGCTTTCTGGATGAAATCTGGAATCTAATTTCTAGCCCCAATCATTGGTGTCACAAAGCGTTGATGTCCCCTGTGGGGACACAGGGCAGTACCCTCCTGGAAGGTTGGCAGGTGCCACGCATTTTGAGGTGTTTGGCCAACGTTGACCCAGGGCCACCACAGGGCAGAGCTTGGCCGAACTTGGTGAGCCCCCATGATCTAGATCCAAACCCTGGTCCACAAGGTGGGTTCTAGCAGCTCACTGCCACCCCAGCACCATCCCAGTGCCCACATGTTGGAGGAGCCCAGCACATTATGAGCGAGTGAATGACTGACTGACTGACTGAATGAATGAATCAGTGGGCTTGCCTCCCCAGCGGCATTATTGCTGTTGTTTCTTTTTTGGCTTTTCTCAACTTCCAGTAGTCTTTGCTTTGTACTTTGACATCCTCAAATTCTTCTAGCTGATAAAAATGATCAGTCTCCCAAACCGCCATCAACAAAAACCAGTGATCCATCCACCCATCTTCACATTCATATAAGCCATGCATCTGCCCAGTTTGGGGCAATACCCTGTATAGACGCTGTCTGCAACACCCTGTCAGGCCCTGTGTAGATGCTCAGACTACAGTCATCACCTGAGATACACTGAGCCCTGCCCTCCCAGGCCCTGAAGTCTAGTGGGAGAGACAGAGAGTAAGCAGATAAACACTAAAGGGTCTACAAAGGGAGGGATGTTTTCCTGGGAGGGCCTCTGACTGTGAAAGCTGGCCCAGATGGTGGGCATATCTGGGGTCTCCCCAGGAGGGGACTCATGAGCTGAACTCTCAAGGAGGAGAATAGGATCGGGACTAAGGTAGGGAGTAGAGCCTTTCAGACAGAGGCAGCAGTACGTGCAAAGGCCCTGTGGCCAGAAGGGGCGCGGTTATTTCTGGGAGCCATCAGAAGTGTACCTGAGTGGCTGTATCCCAGAAGAGGCCAAAGGATGTCAGGACAGGGGTCAGCCCACACAGGGCTCCCAGGCTGTGGGAAGACACCAGTCTTTATCCCAAAGCCCTGGAAGGCCTTGAAAGGCATCACCATTCGCATTTTGTGAAGGTCCCTATGGGCTCCTTTGAGGGGCCTCACTCATCTGGAGCAGGAGCAGAATTGCAAAGGCTCCGGAAGGGAGAACAGCTGTTGGCACGGCAGTGGTCGTCCTCTCCAGACTCCAGCAGGACCTCTACCTGCCGTCCAGGTGCACGCATACCCACACCACATCTGCAGTCACACAGTTGAAGATGGATTCCCCAACATAACCTTCTGGATTCTGGGCAGGGGGGCACAAGTAGACATGTTTCTGTATATGGGCTGAGCCTTACCCCCTCCCCATCCCGTGCATGCAGGGTCTTCCGCTTACTTTCTTGTCTGCCCACCTGCTGATGGAGCCAGTGACAGCCCAGGCCACGACTCCCACAGCCTGAGGTTAGGTTATCTAAAAATGGGGGGAGCAGGGGAGAGAATGAGGCAGGCATGGCCCGGACAGGGATTTTTATTCCTTGCTGTGTGCCAGTTGACAGTGACCCCAGAATGTCAGGTCTGGCTGGTGGGGCAGTTTAGACGATCACGTTATGGGCAGAAGCCTTCCAGTCCTGGGGCCATGCTGGGGCCAAGTGAGGCGGGCCAGGTTCCATCACGGAGTGTAGGGGCTGCAAGAGTAATTCATACTCATGTGCTTCTATGCCATTTCCTTATTTTATTCTCAAATTAAAGAGGGTAGGGTTATTTATTCTCAGCTACCGTCTGATGACTGGGTTGGGCCCTCAGAAGTCTCTCTGTCTGATCCATCTCCTGTTCTCATCTGGGGTACCCTTGGACTTTTCATCCTGCTCCCACCCACCAGGGCCCCAGCCCCCACCAGTTTCCCCCTTGTGAGGCTGTGGGAGGGAGTGTCACCTCCTGTGGGAGCCCTGGGAAGAAAGTCCAGCCCTTTCCTTGCTAAGACTGGCCACCTCTCTGGGAAAACATGTCAGTTCTCACACTCCCCTGGTGTCTTCTGTCTTATCAAACACCCCTCTCAGTTGGAAAGTGAGGTCAGGTGAGGGACTCTATTCTGTTACAGGCAGCCTGGGACTTGCATTTTTAAACCAGAAGGAAAATGCCAGTTTGGGCAGATATTAGAAACAAACTCTGTCTCTCTCTGAAAAAGTTCCATATAGTCAAAGCTGTGGTTTTTCTAGTAGTCACGTATAGTTGTGAGAATTGGACCATATGTAAGGCTGAGCGCTGAAGAACTGATGCTTTCAAACTGTGGTGCTGGAGAAGATTCTTGAGAGTCTCTTGGACTGCAAGGAGATCAAACCTAAAGGAAATCAACCTTGAATATTCATTGAAAGGACTGATGCTGAAGCTGAAGCTTCAATACTTTGGCTACCCTATGGGAGGAACCGACTCTTAGGAAAAGCCCCTGATGCTGGGAAAGATTGAGGGCAGGAGGAAACAGGTTTGATAGAAGATGAGGTGGTTGGATGGCATCACTGAATCAGTGGACATGAGTTTCAGCAAACTCTGGGAGATAGTGAAGGACAGGGAAGCCTGGCCTGCTGCAGTCCATGGGGTCCCAGAGAGTCAAACAAGACTTAGCTACTGAACAACAGCTGTCTCACTCCAGGCCCCCTGGAGACCATTCAGGAGGGCTCCGGACAGGTGGGGGAGTTTTCAACGCAACTTTCATCTTTTTCCTCCCTGAGTCCATGGGGATTTCATAAACGTTATGTTGCTCAATTTCAGTTCAATGGCACGGAGTCGTTCCAATGTGTTCTAATTGCTCAGACATAAATGATTTCTGGTGCACTTTAAATGATTTCAGATGCACTTTTGTCTAGCAGGCTGCTGATTTATAACTCCCTGGGACTTTGATGTTGTGCTTCATTGATTTCTTTTAAGACTCTTCAGAGGTATATTTATTATAGACGAGACATTTCCCTGTTCATTTGCTCTGTAATTCTGAAACACTCTGATTTTCCATTCGTCAACACTCCGCCCTTACTCCCTGCACTTATGCTGTACCAACAGCAAGAAGACACATTTATTGAGTGCTTACTGAATGCATATCCAGGTACCAGAGGCTGTGGGTGAGTGGAGACACACAGTACATTAGGCACACATTCCTTCCAATGGCATCCTTGCCATTCAGACAAAGGGAGAACCCACATAGGGACTCATGTGACATGACGGGGGCCAAGGGGGTTTGGTCCAAGAGCTCCAGAGGCCGCTTGGCAGAGAAGAGGGGTGAGGGGTGGGTGGGGCCATGCCTCTGCCGCGACGGCCCATTGGTGTGCTGCTTTGACAAGGCAGCTGACTGTGGTCCCGAGGATGTGGTGGGAGTTCTAGCTTCTCATGCTCCTGGTCTTGAGCTCACCACTGTGTTCTTGAGCCTTAGTTTCTTCATCTGTAAAATGGAACGCATCCATCTCATTGGTTGCCTACTGTGGGTTGAGCACTTAGTATGTGCCTGGCAGGCTTAGATCCATGTTTTGTGGGACCTGAAGCAATTTTTTGGGGGGAGCCCTTTAAGAATCCGCCTGTAGTGAAGGAGACCTGGGTTTGATCCCTGGGTTGGGAAGATCCCTTGGAGAAAGGAATGGCTACCCACTCCCGTATTCTTGCCTGGAGAACCCCATGGACAGAGGTGCCTGGTGGGCTACAGTTCATGGGGCGCAGAGAGTCGGATACGACTAAGTAACACTTTTCAGAAAAATAACCTCGGGTTATGAATGTCTGGCTGTGTTTCCGCCCTATGGTGGAGTCCTCCGGGGTAAGTGCCGAGGTCTTCAATGCTTTTTAAGCCCTGGACTCATTTTCCTCCCAAATTATTTGTTGCATGAATGTCCCGGGATGTCAAACAGACAATAGCGGAGCTGCTGCGTCTGGGAACCCTCTTCTTTCCGCTCCAGCCTTGGCTCGCAGGTGACTGCCCTGGGCTGGAGTGGATCAGGACGAAGCCGAGCCTCCTCCTCCCAGCTCCCCACTCCTGACGTATCTCAGGGGCCGTCTCTAAGACAAGTCCTGTCTTGAGACGGACAGCGTGGACCCCCTTCACGGGCAGATGGGGAGACGATCTGGCCCCCGAAGGCTGCTCTGCCGCCCCTCCCCCGGGGGGCTGACTGCGGGCGTCCATCAGTGGGACCGTTCCCATTCCCGAGGTGTCCGCCTTGGGATCCCACAGCTCAGACCTTGGGAGGAGACCACGCGGAGCACGCGCCACCTAGTGACCATTTGCCGGAACTGCCACTGCCCGCGCCGCCCGGAGGAAACGGGAAACGTCTCTCTGGGCAGGAATGAGGTGGGGGCTGCTGGTCCGCAAGACCCCCACCCCGGCTGCTCTCCGAGAGGGCGTGGCTCAGAGGAGCATCTTGCTGCTGCCTGAGGGCAGGATGACTCAGGTCAGACGGGCCCCTGATGCTCCCGTGGAGATTCTGCCTTTGTGAACATGGGCTCCCAGGAGTGACACCTCCCTGCCTCTTCTCCCCTCCATGGTCCTCTTTACCTCCGGGCCGCCTAGTCCTCCTCTTCCTTTCTTCCTCCCCCTCCCGTCTTCCTCCAGTCTCTTCCCTCCACCACCCCATCCTGTCCTCTTGTCCCCAATCTTGCCCATCCTCTGCCTCCTTCCCCCCACCCCACCTCCTTCCTCATTCTTCACTTGGCTCAGCCAAGTAGTTCCTTTAATGAACTACTTTGGGTGGTTCTGATATTTGGGTGGAACGTAGGTGGGGGTCAGTTGTTGAGTTAGATGCTAAGCCAGGAGCCCAGCTGTGAATGCTGAAGGTTTGAGATCGCCCTCTTTCATTCATTCATTCATGGAGGGGTGCTTGCATGCACTCAATCACTCATTCACAGAGGCATGCAGATTTAGTAAACATTTTTGAGGCCAGCTATGTGTAAAGCATTATGCCAGGTATGCACCCCACTTTTGGCTTTCACCCTGGATGTCTAGCAGAATATTTTGCTGTCTCTTCTCTGCCTGGAAAGCTCCTACTCACTTTGAAGTTGAGGTGCGGACTAGGCTGTGTGAGATCACTCCCCCCCACCTGCTAGCTTTGGGTTTTGTTTTTTGTTTTTTGTTTTTTTTTTTTGAGAGTTTACTGCTTTTGTTTCCTCCAGACCCAGTCCAGGGCTGCCCACTAGTCAAAGCCAGCCTTTACACTGAATCCACCCCCACCCTCTTCTGAAGCTGGTTTTTGTCTGCCTGGGACTCTGCACTCCAGTAGTTACTCTTGTTTCTCTCCCCAAGGACACCCTGTACACAATAGCATCCCCAGAAATCTAGAAATTGAAGCACCAACGATAAGGGATGGTCAGATGAAAAGTTTTTCAGCATCCTTGGGTTTTACCAGTCCCGTTCGAATGGAAATCCCATTCTTAGGGATCTCACGAAAAGGAGTGTTTTCTGAGGACCTCCTCCTAATGTCTTCTGCTGTGTTTTGGTTCTGCTCTCTCTTGCTTTGCTTTCCTGAGTTACTGGTGGCAAGAGCGGAGGTAGCCTTGCATGACAGAACACAGCACAGGTAGCCCGTTGTCAGGTGAGAGAGAAGGCCAGTGAGAGCACCCACCCTGGGCAGCATCTTTAGGGCTACCTGTGGAAGACCACTCTCATCTGACGATAATGTTCTGATGCTGGTGTCTAAGCTCTGGTATACACTAGGTGCTCAAAAAATCCTCAGCAGTTTGAAAGCTCAAGCTATAGCTTACAGATTATAAAGTACACAGCTTAAGCGGCAGCTCCATGAGTTTCCACATGTGCCTACCCCTGGGAGACCACCACCCAGTTCAAGATTTAAACCATTTACATACTTAGAAGGTTCCCAGGTGCCCCTCCCAGTCAGAACCACCCCGCTCAGAGTCTCTGTCACTCTGCTCGCCCCCTCTTTAGAATACTTTTGTCTGCTTTTGCACTGCACATAAATGGAATCCTGACTTCTTTCACTCTGAATTATCTGTGAGCGCCGACCATGTTGCAGAAGGTTGACACATCTGAGTCTGCTCATCAAACTTGAGTTCCAGCTTTGGACTTCCCACACTGGGTTGAGTGTAAGCCATCTCAGGAGGCTGAATCAGGTTAGTTTCAGCTCAAGTTCACTTCACCTTACCTTTAACCCGGGCTTCGCTGAGTCGGGCACCAGCGAACATAGGATGTGTCACCCAGTCTCCCATTGTGGCCAGGTGGGACCATGGGATCTTAAGAAGCTGGTATGGGCAGAGGACGTTGGGTCACCGATGGACTCCAATTCCTCCTAGATACTTGCTCCCTGTGGTTTCAGGGAGACCTGCCTCTTTAGACAGCCTCGACTGGACACGACGCCGCATGTATCTATCGTGGATGCAGCTCACGCCCCCTTTGCTACAGTGCAGCAGCCTCAGGAGGACACCGACTGGTTCCCAAGCCGCCCTGGGGGGTCACCTGAGAGGCTGTGTCTCTGAGATTCTGACCATCCTTGGACAGTAGAACTCACCCCATTCTCTTCCCACTGAGGAGTCTGTAGGACGCCCCGTGACAAGCCTTCCAGGTTCCCACTGGACACCAGGGTGGACAGCCAGCCTGGGGTAGACGGCCTGAGTCCCTAGACAGGAAGTGCCCGTGGAGGGACATGTTCATCGAACGATTAACAGGCTCTGGAGGGTGGCTTGGGGACCTGGGGCTCGGACTAGATTGCTTTGCAAGGTAAGCTCTTGATTTCATGACCTCATCTCTCACCCCAACCTAGAGACTTCACTCACAATCCAGGTTGTTAACATGGAGAGATCTTATCCTGTTAGCCTTTCACTCCAGAGAAATTGGATTGAAAAAATCTCGCCAGACTGCCTCCGGACAGAGCTTTTCCATCATCCGTGAGTGACCCTCTGGCAGGGAGACTTGCTTTCCTTCACACACCATTAACGGGTGACAGACGGGAGGGTGTCCCTCTGTTCGGCGGCCGGCAGAACCGCTTGGATGGGAGTCCCTGTGGGAGGCTGCTGCCTGACCCGCAGCAGGATGTGGGAAAGTTACCTCCCCTGTCGGTGCTGGAATCACCCCCTTACCTGTCTGCATCCCTCAACAGGTCTCCGGGAAGACAGTCACACCTGGGCAAGTCACCTGGGGACATGGGAGGGGCGCGCCTGTGCTGAGACACCTGCTGTTTCTCCTCCGCCCGTCCTGCTGCTGCTACTTAGCCCCTCAGTCATGTCGGACATTCGCAACCCCATGGACTGCAGCCTGTCAGGCTCCTCTGCCCGTGGGATTCTCCGGGCAAGAATACTGGAGTGGGTTGCCATTTCCTCCTCCAGGGGATCTTCCCGACCCAGGAATGGAACCTGCATCTCCTGCACTGGCAGGCGCGCGCCTGTGCTGAGACACCTGCTGTTTCTCCTCCGCCTGTCCTGCTGCCGCTACTTAGCCCCTCAGTCATGTCGGACATTCGCAACCCCATGGACTGCAGCCTGTCTGGCTCCTCTGCCCGTGGGATTCTCCGGGCAAGAATACTGGAGTGGGTTGCCATTTCCTCCTCCAGGGGATCTTCCTGACCCAGGAATGGAACCTGCATCTCCTGCACTGGCAGGCGGGTTCTTTACCACGAGCGCCACCTGTATGCATCCTGCTTTGTGTTAAATCCCTCTGCAGGATGGTAGGTTCCTGGGTTACGCTACAATGTTCTTTCTTAAACTCCCTCCAGATCTGAGCTCATGACGCCCCCTGGGTTGATGCCCACCCTCCCATTGCCCTGGTCTGCTCTCCTGGTCCAGGGAAGAGTAGCAGTGGCTCAAGCTGGAAAAGGATGCTCCGGCTCCGTCTCTGTGGACATCCCAGACTTGGAGAGGTCAAGTCAGATTTTAGCTGGACAGTGGGCTGGGTTGGCTGCCATGCTTCCAGAACCCTGCAGAGCAGTTCCTGTAGCCCAGGGTCTGGGCTGGCTGCTCTGTGCTGTTTTCTGTGTGATGCTCACATTGTCCTTGCGTGATCAGCATTTCATGGGCCAGGAAGCTGAGCCCCAGAGGGACGTGACACACCCAGTCTGAACTTAGGTCTGTCTGATTTCTCATCCTCTTCACCACATTGCCGCTCTGCAGACAGGCAGCAGGTAACATCTACTGCGGCCTTTTCTTTCAAGTGCTGTCTGCGCTTCGTTACGTACGACCATAATGAAGTTCCACAGACTGAGTGGCTTAAACAACAGAAATACCTTTTCTTACAGCTCTGGAAGACTGTGGCCTGAGATGAAGGTGTCGTCAGGTCTGGTTTCTTCTGAGGCCTCACCCCTTGGCGTTCAGGTGACGGTCTTCTACTGTGTCTTCATATGTCGACCCTCTGTGGGTGTCTGTGTCCTAATCTCTGCTTTTTATAAGAGCATCGATCATCTTGGGTCCATCCTAATTACTCATTTTCACTTATTATACCAGGAGCTATTTTAGGGGCCAGGTGTACCCAGGGAACAAGCAGACCACGTCCCAGCTCGTGCAGGGCCTACATTCAGTGGGAGAGCACTAAGAATCATCACACACACACACACACACACATGCCTGCACAAGGGAAGTAGGGACGAGGTCTCTGAAGAGGGGAGAGCGAGGCTGGGATGCAGACCATGACATGAGCTGCAGAGGAGGCCCTGCTGCTGTGGCAGCATCTGAGTGGAGGCCTGAGGGAGGCAAGACAGGAAGACTGCATGGAGGGAAAACCTGGGAATGGAATCTGCATCCTTACACGCTCCCTGGTGATGCTGAGCAGGTGGCCGTGGAGGACCACACAGTGGTGGCCGCTGTCCTCTGTTCTCTGGGAAATTATCCTCTCCTGCTTCGTCCTGTGTCCCTCTCAGTAAGCTGGTAACCTCCCTGCCCTGGCCCCCGACCCCAGCTCCTTTGGTGTCTCTCTATCCCCCTCCTCTCCCTCTCCGCCCACCACCCCCATCACTGCATCTGATTAAGAGCTGACTTGAAGTCATAGGATGGCAGTACTCCTTCACAGTTTATAAAAGTTTAAAAAAAAAACCCCAGCTTTATTGTGATATAATTCACATACTATAAAATCCACCCATTTAGCTGTACAATTCAATGGTTTTAGTATATTTACAGAGTGGTGTTAACTATCACTGCAACCAACTTTAGAACATTTTCCTCACCCCAGGAAGAAGCCCCCTACAAAGGCTTTTGCAGACTATTTTATCCTTGCAGAACCTCATGAAAAGAGCAGGGCAGCTTCCACCCCCATTTTACAGAAGGGCAAATAAAGCCTTGGGGGGTTTAATGATTTGTAGAAGAAGTTGAGGGGAAGATTTTAGGTCCTTTTTAATACTTGAAAGTGCTAGGGAACCCCTAGAAACATGCCTGTGGAATCTCTGGGCTCCCAAGATTTCCTAAGCACAGACTCTGGTCCCTCATACCCAGGAGGCACAGAGACGCGTGATGGAGATGG